CGATGCCGGTACTGCCCCCACCCCCTCACACACCACTTCCATCTTGTGGTAGCACCTCCATAACGTAAGTTGCTCTTTTAAGACTCAAATTCTGTTAATACGGGTATCTTTATTTCTAACTACACCTATATATATTTATGTGTGTGTGTGTTCATTTCTAGCTGTGTCAAGTTGTGTCTTTACTTTAAGAACATCCTTGTCAAACCTTTCAACTACATCTACTAGCTAAATTAGTTTTTTTTCCAGAATGCATAGATCATACATACATGCTTCGGTAAAGTCCACCAACATCAGGGCACCAAAAGGTTAGTGTATTAATTTTCCTTCTACTATGGCAGGTGGATGGATCTCATTATATATGTAAAAAACATAGTTTAATATTTGTCTTAATAGAAAAGGATAGTAATAAAAATATGACTGGAATTGATAATCATTAAAAGATTAAAACTAGGAAATGTTGCTCTTTGTGTGGAATAGTATCTGATAAAAAAAAATCAGATTGTCAATGCATCTGTTGATAGCTGCAAATAATATTTCATTCTGATTTTCAGAGACGGTGCATTTGCGTTCCAGGAATAACAAAGACAGTTAGTTTGCAAGTACATGCATATGGTAGAACGGCTAAAACCCAAATACAAGGAGTCATAAACTTGGTAAACACACTTAGAAATATGACCAGCAAAAGTCATCACATATTGAGGGACTTAAAAAAATATATACCAGACAAGAGGGATTGTGTTTAAGTGTTGAATGAAATCTCCATTAGAATATTTCAGTGATATAAAAGGGGATAGCATCGGTGTAAAAGATTTTGGACTTTATGAATATTCTTAACCAACAAACGCTTCTTTTTTATGATTAGGAGAGTAAGACGTGGTCACATGTCAAAATTAAACTAAAATAGGAATTTCTATGCATGGTAAAAGAAGCCAATCTTAAAGTGACTGATACTATGTGCATTGGGATGATATTTGACCACTGAGTGAACAGGAAACCGGAAAAAACATTCAAGTTTATCAGTACATGATCTACATTTTAAACCTAGCAAGACAAAAGTATGTTAAATGTATGATTAACATCTCAAAGGAAATTGGCAATAATACCTAATTGTCATGTTAAGAGTCAGTGACAAATTGTGCAAGTGGACTGAGTTCTCAAGTTTTTTGAGAGAGAAAGTTGCAGTCAGAATTATCCCTTAGCTAAAGAAAGTGCCATTTTCGGTGTGAACTTGGCTGCACAATCTTCAAAGAGATCAGTTGCTAGATGTCTTAATGTGATAGTTGCAGTAGATAATAGGGGAATTCTGATGTAGATACAACTGTATTTATGATAGAGAGGAATCACATTGTATAACCTCTTTGATAACACAACACTATGCCAATGTTTGAGGTTCACCAGATCAGGATTTTTTCTTTAAGTAATCGGCTCTCTAGAAGTATGTGAAGTAATTTATCAAAAAAGGTACAACCAATATCTTTGAAATTATAACAATATTGAAATCAGTGCCTGCAATTATGATACGTAATAGAGAAGCCAATTTCCATAATGGGAAGTATTGGAAAGTTGTGCATTTGTTGATTTTATTTTCAAAATATCCTTTTCGGAAACTGAGCATTTCTTTCCTTTATACCTTAGAAATAATCCCTCACGCAAATAGAATTTGCAATTACATAAATCATTTCAGGTTGACTACAGTTTTATCTGTATAATACTTAAATATTTATGTTCAGTTTAACTATCAGGACACATTATAGTGCAGAGCGACGGATGTTCCGACCGGGCAGTCACTCGACAACTCGGACTGGCCTACGGCGTTATGGACTCACTCAATAGGAGTATTTGGCGCTGTCGGTATTAGACTAGGAGAACTAAGATCAGGCTCTTCAGAGCACTGGTGATCCCGGTCCTGCTCTACGGGTGTGAGACCTGGACACTGAACAGTGCTCTGAAAGCCCGTCTTAACTCCTTCGGTACTAAGTGTCTTCGCAGAATCATAGGGTATATAATATATATACATATATATACATATATACACATATATATATATATATGCATATATATACATATATGCACACACATATATATATGCATATATATACATATATGTATATATACATATATATATATATATGCATATATATACATATATGTACATATATACATATATATATATACATACTTTATATATATAATGTATGCATATACATATATACATATGTGTGAGTGTAGCTGTGTGAGAGTGTGTGTGTGTGTGTGTGTGTGTGGTGTGTGTGTGTGTGTGTGTGCTGTGTGAGTGTGCTGTGTGAGTGTGAGTGTGTGTGTGTGTGTGTGTGTGTGTGTGTGTGTGTGTGTGTGTGTGTGTGTGTGTACGTGTGTGTGTGTGTGTGTGTTGTGTGTGTGTGTGTGTGGGGAGGCTGGGGATTGCCATCGCTGCTCGCTCTGAGGTGCAATGGCCTGGTAGTGGTGAGACCAGTAGTGGGGTTATACCTAATACTGGTGTGGTTGTAGCAATGGTGCGCACCTTAGGGGAGTCGTGGTGGCTGTCTCTGACCGCTTCCGTTCCTCAGCCAAGAAGGCTACCCTGTTGACGAGCGCATTCTGCTTGTGATAATGAAGCACACTTTGGGCTTCATATCTCTAGTGGCAGTTTACGCTCCTACTGAGGGAAGTGGGCTTGAAGAGAAAGAGATGTTCTATGCCAAACTTGACTCTATAATGGATCAGTGTCCCCAGGGGGACACCCTCTTGGTCTTGGGGACTTCAATGCATTTACTGCACTGACAGGGAAGGATACGAGCTATGCATCGGTCCCTATGGACTTGGTACTAGGAACATCAATAACTCATACCCCTTAGACTTCGCAAGATCTAGGAGGCTGAGGATTGTGGGCTCGTGGTACCAGAGACGAGATCTACACCGCTGGACTTGGTAGTCTAATACTGGGTGTTGTAGCTAAAGAGTATCGACATATTCTCATGGATACTCGCTGGAGGATCCTTCAGAACTGTAGACTTTTTAGGAGTGCTGAGTTCTTTGCTACCGACCACAGACTGTTGTCGCAACACTAAGGCTCCGCCTCAGATTTAGACACATCTCGAGATCTAACCAGCAGGTGTTCCAACTCGAGAGGCTCAAGAGTGAGGAGGTGGCTCAGAAGTATGCAGTGGCAGTCTTAAATCGGTTGAAGTGCTTGGTACTCTACAGGACCCTACTGAACTGTGGGATACCTTTAAGCGAGGAACTCTGTCAGCTGCCAAGGAGTGCCTTGGGGTCCGACCTCGGCGAAGGAGGCGTGTTGTCTCAAACGAGACACTGAACACTATTGAGATGAGTCGTGCTGCCAGACTGGATGGGAACCATGTCTTGCACAGGGAGCTGTCTCACTCTGCTAGGGCCTCTTTGAGAGTCGACCAAGAGAGGTACGTTAGGGGCATCGTGGAAGAGTTGGAAGGTCATTTTGCCCAAAATGACCTTCAACCTGCTTTCTGAGCCCTGAGGGAACTCAATCGGGCTCGGTGAGGGCAGAGAATGGTCACATTGTGTCAGAGCCGGTGTGTATAGGGCCTGCTGGGCTGAGTACTTTGAGCAACTGTATAGGGTAGATCCCCCGTCTTCACAACTCCCGTTGGCTTGCACACAGCCACTAGTGGCTGATCCACCAATCAGTGAGGCACCACCTGCCATCGAAGATTTTTAGAAGGTGGTGTCTAGCTGAAGAGCTGCTGGTGTCTGTGGGATTGCTCCGGAGTTGTTGAAGGTGGGTGGAGAAGCCATGATCTGTGGTTTGCATGCAATCTGGAGACTAGTAGGGATACTAGTACCATTCCCCCTAACTGGAAAAGGGGCTTGGTCATCCCTTTCTGGAAAGGGAAAGGGGACCAAAAAGACTTTGGCAACTACAGAGGTATTACATTACTCAACGTACCAAGCAAGGTCCTCACTCATCTGCTTTTGGCACGAGTGTGCGACCACCTATTACGAGCACAGAAACTGAGCAGTCTGGTTTTACACCCAGAAGTTCACTATAGACGTGTCTTAGCACTTCGTGTCCTTGTGGAACGATGACTTGAGTTTCAACAAGGTATGCTTACAGCTTATGTTGATCTCAAGAAGGCTTTCGACTCAGTGCACCGGGAGAGTCTCTGGAGCCTCCGTGGGATCCCCCATGGAATTATTGGGTTTGCTGTCTGGTCTGTATACAGATACTGAGAGTACTGTCAAGTGTGAGGAGGGCATCTCTGCCTTTTTCCCATTGTCTGCCAGGGTGAGACAGGGATATGTCCTGACCCCAACCCTTTTCAATACTTGTATGGACTGGATACTTGGGCGCGCCGTGAACCGTAGTCCTGTGGGTCATCAATTGGTAATCAAGGTCACAGACCTTGATTTGCCGATGATGCAGTGATTCTAGCAGAGACCTTAGAGGTCCTGGAAGTAGCTCTCGAGGCGCTGCATGAGGAGGCGAAGCCGTGGGACTCGCGGTCAACTGGACCAAGACCAAGGTTCAGGAATTTGGGGGACTTTTTGGATGTCGATGTTTAGTCTGTGCATGCCTGTGGCGAGAACAACGAGGTCTTGGATAGCTTCACTTATCTTGGTAGTGTAGTGCAGAGCGACGGAGGTTCCGACCGGAAGTCACTCGACGACTCAGACTGGCCTACAGCGTTATGGACTCAATAGGAGTATTTGGCGCTGTCGGTATTAGACTAGGAGAACTAAGATCAGGCTCTTCAGAGCACTGGTGATCCCGGTCCTGCTCTACGGGTGTGAGACCTGGACACTGAACAGTGCTCTGAAGGCCCGTCTTAACTCCTTCGGTACTAAGTGTCTTCGCAGAATCATAGGGTATATAATATATATATATGTGTGTATGTGTGTGCGTGTGTGCGTGTGTGTGTGTGTGTGTGTATATATATATATATGCATATATATATATATATGTGTGTGTGTGTGTGTGTGTGTGTGTGTGTATCTTGAACTTATATTATACTTCCAGAGAATTGAGTGACGATGGCTTCCCGTTTTTCCTGGTTCCTGTGCCCCCTGCTGGCGCTCCTCCTCTGCCACGATGCCGCCCTCTCAGCCAAGACGCCTCAACAGATTGACATCCAGACTCTCAAGTCGATGAAATGGGCCGTGCATGTAAGAAACTGTCTCATTCAGAAATGCATGTATATTCTGTGAATACCTTAATGTGTGCTGAATGAGGTGAGAAATAGCTGTTGATGTCACGTTTTTTTTCTCCTTACTTCTTATTAGGGCGGCGGTCAGTTCGCTGTGATGCATCTGTCGGGAGGGAGCCTCGAAAATTGCCATGAAATACAATACAATGATGCAACAGGAGTTAGAGGAGACTGCAATTTCGCCAGGCTCTTCCGTAAGCAACTCACGGGAAACCAGGAGGTAATGATTTACAGATAGATTCGACTGATAAGTACAGAGCTACATACAAAATGGCCTTATAGAACCAGGACATTCTTCCATTCTTCAATTGATTTAGATTTTATCTCTTTAGATTATCTGAAAATATTAGAAAGAACTTGCACTGTAGATTCTGTTATTAGAAAGTATGGATACAGCATAAAGGGTATAACCGGTTTACGTATTAGAACTGGGGTAGCAGGGGCGATCTGTCCCCAGAGAGTTGTGCGTCCCTGCCCCTAGCTAGCAGTTGGGATCGGGCAGGCAACTCAGTCCCATAAAAACTATTTACCAGCAGGCAAATCAAGAAAGAAGAGAAAGGGTCAGAGCCATCCTGGAGGAGGTGACTCCGACCCCGATTTGCGGCTGGGGGTTCCTTATCCCTAGCTCGGCGTCCTGACCAGGGGCTTACCTGATCAGGATGACGAGCCTGTTATGACGGGTGCAGGGCAAAGCCTTTCCAGGGAATCCTGGGAGGGCTAATCCCCCACCACGTAACCCTGAGGTTACGTGGTGGGGGAGATGGCCCCCCCGGCCCCCACTCTTCCTCCTTGGGAGGCATGCCTGGTTGTGCCGAGGCGTCGCCCGGCCGGAGCCCCTCAAATGGGGTCAATCTGCGGCGAGCGTGCCGTGTAGCGGCCTGGAACATCCTCAGTCTCTCGGAGGATGATCGACTGCCTTTGTTGTCGGGGGAGCTGGGGAGGCTGGGGATTGCCATCGCTGCTCGCTCTGAGGTGCAATGGCCTGGTAGTGGTGAGACCAGTAGTGGAGGTTATACCTACTACTGGTGTGGTTGTAGCAATGGTGCGCACCTTAGGGGAGTCGTGGTGGCTGTCTCTGACCGCTTCCGTTCCTCAGCCAAGAAGGCTACCCTGTTGACGAGCGCATTCTGCTTGTGATAATGAAGCACACTTTGGGCTTCATATCTCTAGTGGCAGTTTACGCTCCTACTGAGGGAAGTGGGCTTGAAGAGAAAGAGATGTTCTATGCCAAACTTGACTCTATAATGGATCAGTGTCCCCAGGGGGACACCCTCATGGTCTTGGGGGACTTCAATGCATTTACTGGCACTGACAGGGAAGGATACGAGCTATGCATCGGTCCCTATGGCTCTGGTACTAGGAACATCAATAACTCATACCCCTTAGACTTCGCAAGATCTAGGAGGCTGAGGATTGTGGGCTCGTGGTACCAGAGACGAGATCTACACCGCTGGACTTGGTAGTCTAATACTGGTGTTGTAGCTAAAGAGATCGACCATATTCTCATGGATACTCGCTGGAGGATCCTTCAGAACTGTAGACTTTTTAGGAGTGCTGAGTTCTTTGCTACCGACCACAGACTTGTTGTCGCAACACTAAGGCTCCGCCTCAGATTTAGACACATCTCGAGATCTAACCAGCAGGTGTTCCATCTCGAGAGGCTCAAGAGTGAGGAGGTGGCTCAGAAGTATGCAGTGGCAGTCTTAAATCGGTTTGAAGTGCTTGGTACTCTACAGGACCCTACTGAACTGTGGGATACCTTTAAGCGAGGAACTCTGTCAGCTGCCAAGGAGTGCCTTGGGGTCCGACCTCGGCGAAGGAGGCGTGTTGTCTCAAACGAGACACTGAACACTATTGAGATGAGTCGTGCTGCCAGACTGGATGGGAACCATGTCTTGCACAGGGAGCTGTCTCACTCTGCTAGGGCCTCTTTGAGAGTCGACCAAGAGAGGTACGTTAGGGGCATCGTGGAAGAGTTGGAAGGTCATTTTGCCCAAAATGACCTTCAACCTGCTTTCTGAGCCCTGAGGGAACTCAATCGGGCTCGGTGAGGGCAGAGAATGGTCACATTGTGTCAGAGCCGGGTGTGTATAGGGCCTGCTGGGCTGAGTACTTTGAGCAACTGTATAGGGTAGATCCCCCGTCTTCACAACTCCCGTTGGCTTGCACACAGCCACTAGTGGCTGATCCACCAATCAGTGAGGCACCACCTGCCATCGAAGAGTTTAGAAGGGTGGTCTCTAAGCTGAAGAGCTGCTGGTGTCTGTGGGATTGCTCCGGAGTTGTTGAAGGTGGGTGGAGAAGCCATGATCTGTGGTTTGCATGCAATCTGGAGACTAGTAGGGATACTAGTACCATTCCCCCTAACTGGAAAAGGGGCTTGGTCATCCCTTTCTGGAA